GAAACTAAATAAAATTTTTGTAACAGAGTTTATAAGTATTTTGATTGTAGTTTTGTTAAATTTTGTCTGTTTTTTATATATTATATATCAAAATGAAGCTGTTGATAAGCTGAATCTTTTTGTATTAAGGGACATTAGATGTTAACATAATAGAATTTTGAGTTATAGCCAATGGAAGTAAAATATAAAAAATAAATTATAATTTTGTAGAGAAGAGCTTTAGAAGTTTAAAGCAGGACTGTCTATAAGTAAAATTTACTGTAGAATAGTTTTACTTAGGCAGCCAGAGTAAGTTTACTTAGTAAAATTTAGAGTATAGAGTGATTGCTTTGAGAGAAGATTTTGTACAAGTGATCATTAGGAAGAGTTAGTGATTTGTATCTTTTAAATTAATATATACTATAATATGTATCTACTAGATATACAAAAATTACTAGATATATATATTTTTTTAAAAATATACTGTACCTTATCCAATACCCAACACTGTACTGTACTGAAAAGGTATATACTCTAAATTATACTTTTAAAAAATACTAATATTTTTTTTATAAGGTATATAATTTATAAATCTAGTATATATTTAAAATATAATATTAACTATACTGTACCTAGATAATAAATATTTTTATTAAATACAGTTCTTAAATTAATATATACTATATTGTATATCTACTAGATATACAAAAATTACTAGATATATATATGTATTTTAGAAATATACTATACCTTACCCAATACTCAATACTGTAATATACTGAAAAAATATATACTCATAATTTTTCTGTAGATTGAGCGAAATATTTTGTATAGCGAAACCTAATTTAATACATAATATTATTTAAAATAAACTGTTTCATAATTCTTTTAGTAGTTTTAAATGCTAGTGATAAAGATCAAAATAAATCAATATGAAAAAACATATGTGATATGTGATATCTGATGTCTATATTTGTATATTACATAAATTAATATATAAAAAGGTTTTTTTTATAGCTAGTTTGATGCTTTTGCAATTAATCCAATTAATTACTGGTTTTTTAATTGATAATAGCTAATTATCAACTTATAAAATATATACATAATCTATTTTAATGCTAAAAATAAGATATTTTATCTAACATGTTCTATGTATACACTGAACATTTTTCATACATATTATTCGATCACTTACTAATCATATGATAACTCAATTTTTGATCACTTTATATTTAAAATATACAATTTTCAGCTATATTTATAAAACAAAGCTAAGTGTTTATTAATTTGTAATTAATAATAAATTAGTTATATTTAAAGATTTAATTAATTTTTAAATTTATTTTTAGATTGTAACTTTGTGAAGTAGCACTAAAATGGAGTTGAATAACAATATTATTAACTTCAGATAATAGGTTTTAACATTTTCTATAAGAAGCTAATAATAGTGAATTAGAAAGACAAGAAGGCTTAAAAGATGCTATTACAGAAGAAGAAGGATGAGTTTGAGTACAAGATTTTAATTTAAAAAGTCTTAAAGTCTCACTTATTTAGATTTTGAATTTGGAGTAAAACTTGATTTGCTATATGAACTTCAGTTGCTTGTACTATAGGAACTTTAGTTGTTTGTGCTATAGAAACTTCAATTGCATATGCTGTAGGAACTTGGGTTGCTTGTACTTTAGAAATTTAGATCACTTGTGTTTCAGGAATTTGGGTCACTTGGGCTTCAGGAATTTGGGTCACTTGGGCTTCAGAAATTTGGATCATTTGTGCTTTAGGAATTTAGAACGTTTGTAATTCAGGAAATTTAATTTTGTAATCTAAAAAAAAATCAAAAATGTATAAATAAAATTTAATCTTTTTTTTTTAATGTATTGGTAGCCTTGCTGGTATCTTTATTAGATCAAAGCTAATATACAAGTATATTACAAACTATTTAAGTTATAGATCTAACATTACTCAGCTTCCTCTATAGGCACCAAAATGTGGTCTTGCATTACCAGTTAAGGTTATTGTCTATACCAGAGGGCTATATCAAGCTAGCTAGTGAAACTATAATATGATAATTTCGATTTTGAGAGATTTTTAACTAAACTAAATTGGCAATTTTTTCTTCTAAACTATCATCCTCTTTATAACAAATTAAATCTAATTTTCTATTAATAAACAATTCTATCTTCTTTTTTAATAATATGTTATTGCTAGAAACCTCTTGCTTATAGTTATGTTTTTTTTTCTTTTCTTTCAATTAAGCCTGTCCTTTCTGATTAGAGTTTCCACTTTCAGGACTTCATGTTTTGTAGCTTCATGGCCTTCTTCTACTTCTTGGGAGCTTTCTTTAAAAGTCTTCTCTAGCGATATTCTTCTGTAGGCCTTCTAGGACCCCGAGCAATCTATGTACAGCTAAGATTTTTAAAAAATCTTAACAAATTACTAAAAAAGTAAAAGATCTGCGTAAAAATAGTTAAAAATAAGCATATATATTACTAAAAATAGTAAAGATTTGCAAAAAATAGTTAAAAATAAGCAAATTAAATTCTAACCTATCTATATATAGCTCAGGGTCCTGGCCTTCTTCTTTTCAAAAAACTGGGAACCTTCTTTTGGTTTTTTCATCTCACAATCTTGTATAGTCCACTCAAGTTCTTTTTTTTCTGTGTTCAAAGTATGGAGATCATCTTTTTTTCTTTTCTTTGCCTTTTTCTTTTTCTTTTTCTTTCTAAGCTTTGGTTTTCTTCTCAAAAACTTTTCTTGAATTTCTATAAATATCCTTCGATTCTCAAGAATTTTTATAAAGACCTTCTCTAATATCTCTAATAAGATATTCTTTTTCTTCTTTTTCCAATTTTTGGTTCCTTTTCATCTATATGCCTTTGTATCTTGAGTTGAGTTCATATTCAAGTTTCTTTGGTCCTTCAAATACCATATCCACTTTGCCAGCAAATCTTTTTTTTTTTTTTTTTGGTTTTAAGGTGAGGCCTTACTCATATCTTTATTAGTAAAAAATTTTTTAATAGTAACAG